AAATTTAATACACTCTAAGTTAGTTGGTAAATTTTGATCAATATTATTATGCATATTATGATCCTCATAGTTCATTAAAGTGAAATGGAGAGTGTGGGTTTTATGAATATTTAATTTTAGCAGATTGGTTCTGAACCATGTATTAATATTGTAAAATATTCTGGTCATGGCTGATGACATGCAGATGACATCAGTGAAAGAGGAACAGTGGTCTGTAATCAACATTGACAGAAAGAGGTCATCATACATTGAGAAGGATTGTTTTGAAAAATGACAGAACTCTGCAGCACAGTTGAACTGCAGCAGAACTGAATATTCATCTTGAAGACTGTGTTTCCACAAAAACTGTTAGATGTGAGCTTTACAAATCCAACATCCATGGTAGGGTTGCAATTGCTAAACCTCTGATTACTGAAAGTAATGCTCAGATGTGTAAACAGTGGTTCCCATCATGTTTATAAATCCTGTACATCAGACAGCTGGAAGTGTGTGTGATATGGTCAAGTGAGGTGTCCTTCACGCTGTTCCCTACATCAGGAAGAGTTTATATTTGGAGAACACCCAAGGAAGCCTACAATCCGGAATGCCTGGTTTGGTTCCAAAAGTGAAACATGGGGGAGCTTCTATTATGTTGGTTTGGGCAGCAATATCATGGTATTTTGTTGGTCCCGTTCTTACACTTCATGGCCAAATTACTGCAAGGGAGTATGTGGACAGTTTGGGTAATCAGGTGCATCTCATGAACCTGATGTTATTTCTGAACAGCAATGCAGTTTTCCAAGCTCACAATGCCCCCATTCACGCAGCTGGAACCGCTCAGTTATGGTTTGAGGAACATGAGGGTGAACTTCAACATCTTCCCTGGCCAGCACAGATGCCACATTTGAACATTAATGAATCACTCTGTCAGTTTTGGAGGCCAGAGTGAGGAACATATTGCCACCTCCAACATCTCTAAAGCAACTTGAAGATGTTCTTCAAGAAGGATTGCAGTTATATTGAAGGCAGAAGATATTCCAACCACCATGTTAATAAAAAAAATGTACAGTGTCTGTAGTGTTTCCATTACTTTGTTCAACCCCTTACATGTCTTTGTAGAAAGAAACATGTACCTTGTCTCTGTTGACTATTTATGTGATGATGTTCCAGTGATTTAGTAGGTGCACCCTACATACAGAAGCATATTCCAAGAATAGGCCTTGAGTTCGTGTTAGTAATTGTATTTATTGGTCACCCAATCCTCTTATTTACGAATAATTTCCGCACTTTACGTGTCTTCAGTCTGTTAATACTGCTCTTGCTTTGTTCCTTGTTGGCTTGGTTCTCTTGTCACAGACACGTTGCTAGATTGCAGCTCAGATAACGGGGATTCCTATATTAGCTTGCAGCTCTCTCTATATCACTTTGTTGTGGACTGATGCAAAAACAGAGATGCAGAAGCACCTCAAATGTTATGTCTGGTGGGGTAATTGTGTTTCTGTTGTATAGTAAATGGGTATTTCTTCAGTATTTCTGTATTTTCTGATTCTGAAGTTTATGGTTTTTAGAAATTATGCTACAATGTAGAAAAATAGATTTTGTTGTGTCCAGTAATTTTTATACCAGATATTTCTCTCCAAGAGGTGGTTAGAGAAGCTCTGTCAGGAATTGAACACACAGAGTAATGTTTTCCATCAGATTATATGTGATGCATTTCAAAGTATCATAATTTTAAATTATATCATTTCACTGCTTTTTTCTTTAAAAATGGAAAAGAATAAGCTACAAAGAGGAAATTTACTAATTCATTGAATACCCATGCTATATGTGCCCTTTATATTTATGCTGATTCCTTGGGAAAAGACTTAGATGTAGTTGGGAGGTTGCTAGTTAAATCGATCTTGGAAAACTAGGGTGTTGACTGGATTCATAAGAATCAAATGTTGCTAGTTGTTAAATGATATATGTTACGTAATTGTTAATTGTTGCAGAAAGTTTGACCTGAAGGGATCAACAGTTGATCGCGAGGCATCAGATAAAGAAAAGGAAAAGGACCTGCCCACTCTCAAAGACAATGACTTTGTGAAAGAAGGAATGAAAATATACATAGGGGATGACGCAAAGGAGAAGCTGCTTGAAACTCTAACCGCTGATGTAGAGGTGTGTTGGGTTTTGTTTTCACTGATCTGTGAGTCTATTCTCTGTTTCAGTTTTGGACATATGAGTAATTGCTATACACTGACTGGCCACTTTTTTAAAGTTGGTGTGAACATCATGGATTGGATATTTCCCTTTTTTGGCACTTTTTATTTCCCTATTATCAATATTACCACTTCTAAAGTGGAATCAGTACTAGCATCATTCAGTGTTGTCCTGAAGTTTCATATAGTAACTAACATCTTTTAAATGGACACAACATGGCAGTGGTACGAAACATATGGTGTACTGATAAAGTAATTAATGAACTATCAAAACTTTATAATTGAAATTTGTATTGATAATAAATATAATAAATTTATTGGGGCATGCGGGCAGTTCCTCTGTTTCGTTTTAAGCACAATCATGTCAGAAAATGCAATTTCCCAAAGATATGTGGTGGAAAAACTAAGAAATCTCATTGTTATTTCATGTAAATTTGGATATTCATTTTTCATTCTTATCCATAATTTTGAATTACTCATAGAATTAAAAGTATACATACTTTCCGGTCCTTTGTCCCATGATAATAAATTGAAAGTTTCTTTGTGGGAAAGGGTTTACAATCCACATATTTTGCCTCCGGGGAACTTCATGTATCTATGTATGAGCCATTCTTTCACTTGACTTAATTTCTGGTACCGTTATAATGTGTTTCCTTCTTTCCAAATCCCCTTACATTGCCATTATAATAAGTTAATGATAGAGTGTATGTATGGTTTATTGACATTTTTCAGTCATTATGGCAAAAAACTATATATTTTATTTATATTACATTTTAGTCCTCTTACAGCATGACTCTTTCACTTGCAGTTCCTGACTAAGCTTCACCTCATGGACTACTCTCTGCTACTTGGTGTTCATGACTGTGCTAGGGCAGAACAAGAGAACCGAGAACGAGCAGAACAGGAAGATGAAGAGAACAATGGACTGGAGGAAGATGATGACTCAGAAAGTGGATCAGGACTGGACACAAGGGGTGGTGGAGGAGAGGGGGGGGGGTGGGGTGGAGCCATGGCTACACCACCAGATTCTCCTCATGCAGTAGCTCTAATGAGAGAAACCAGCTTGCAGTATGAAACAGGAATTGTTCCTGAGCTTGACATATATGCCATACCTAGTTCTGAAGGTACAGTTACATACACAGTAAAACCTATATATAATATAAGATAAGATAATATTGTAAACAGTAAAACCTGTCTGAAATTGATCCTGGATGAAACAGAGCGTTTCTCTGGTCCTAGATGGACACTGTTTAGCACAGAAGTACGTGTAGAAAGGGAAAAGAAGATTATAATAGAAAATATCATATTTAATACAAATATTATGTTTGTGGACATTATCCATTGTCCTGTTTTTATTTAAAAACATGTTTCGGAGACTGGGTTCTGCCTCTGTTTTCAAGTAAAAGCTACTCAGTTGGGCCCGATCAGTAGAGCTGCTCCCCATCTCCAGACACCCGTACCAGCACCAGATATGGTATACAAGACAACCACAGCACAAACCATCTGTGAGAGCTAAGACAATCTTACAATATTAAAAACCCCACACATATGTGGCCTTGCACCAGAGAACTGTCAGAAAACAAGTCATCACTGGAGAGACAAATTCTCCATATGGTACCAACACAAAACACAAATTTTCCCACTTAATCTACACTGGACAGAGTTGTAGTTTCTTTACTTCTGCTGTGATGACGGGGGGTTCAGATGGGAGAGATGTCCAAGCTGGGTTTACTGATCAGATGATCTATCAGAGACATGTGGGTTGATTCCTTGTATTTCCTGTATATGGTGTTGGGCTCAATCTGCAAGACCCTAGATTCATTCCAACTTATTTTGTGGCTTTATTTGTAAGCATGATGGGTTAATTTTTATTTTTTTATTATATATTTTTATTATAACCTGTATCTGATTATATTTATGCTTTTTAATGCGTACTTCTAAAGGCCTGCTTGTTTTGCTGATGTAGTATCTGCCACAGTCACATGGGATGTTGTACACATAGTACTTTATCTGGTGGGCATCCCTAACCAGTCCAGTTTTCATAAATGTTCCACGGAGTGTATGTTTAGTTTTGAAAGTGGTCTGGACTTTGAAATGGTTTCCAATGCATCTAAATTTCTTGTAAGTACCCTTAACATAAGGGCTAATGACAGTGCCCTAATATATCTAAAGAAAGGTGATTACTTCTTGATGGCTTCATTACAGAGTCACTGAATTCTTTTGGGCATTCATTAAATATCAGATCATGTCTTATGTTCTTAATTTTGTTGTTGAAGTCCTTCTGATCCTGGCATATGACCTTGGCTGTGCTGATCAAACTATGAAGAGCTCCCCTTTTTAACATGATGTGTGTGGTTGGACTTGGAAATGCAGACAACGGCCAGTATGAGTAGGTTTCTGGTACACATTCATGGCCAATTTTCGACCTTTTTTCATGAATAAAATGTCCAAGAACGAAAGGGCAGCATTAGCTTCAACTTCTGTTTCGAATTTGATGGTAGGTCTAACACTATTCAGATGGTGAAGAAATTGCTGTATTCTTGCTGGTCCATGTAGCTAAGCCACAAGTTTCATTGAGTATTTGAGCCAGTTAGTGAATTTGTGGTCTGCTGTAAGCTATGCTGTTGCCTCAAAGTTCCAGAGTGTTACTGACCACCGGAGATAGTGAGTTTCCCATCACCATACCCTCTTTTTGGTGATAGATTTTATGCTCAGAGTGGAAGTATGTACAGTAGTTGTTAAACAGATGTCCAGTAACTCCATTACATGTTCAACTTATAAAGGTGAGTGTTCTGGGAAAGAAGGATTCATATTTAGTCTATTTCTTATGATCTGTAAGACTTCTCCCACTGTTATGTTAGACCCACCATCAAATTCTCAGTGGAAGTTGAAGCTAATGATACTCTTCTGTTATTGGACAGAGACAGAATTCAGTCTCCGAAACATGTTTTTAAATAAAAGCAGGAGAATGGCTAATGTCCAGAAACATAATATTTGTAGTAATATGCTATCAACACAAACTTTTAGATCTTATTAATACATTTAGAATTTGTTATTTTCTGTGTATGCAACTTCTGTATTATGATTCATAGAATTCATCTCAAAAAGGATTATTTCTTTTGTAAACAGGAAACACTTAAGCCAAACTGATGATGAAATATGACTGGAATCCTACAGATAGGTGTAAAGGAAAGAATGAGGTGAACTGCTCAATAAGAATATAGTGTACTTATGTAGCGTGGAGAGCAATTTTGTATGGTTACCACTACATGACANAAATTGACTCTCCTATTGACTAAACACACACAACAGGATGCAAGAAACTATTATAATTTTTTTTACAAGTTAAAATTGTCATGTTCCATGTATTAACTAGATTCTTAAATGAAATACACTTACAGGAGGCATGTTGGGTCTGACATTCTGTGGTGCCTTCAGGCCTGTGCAGACCTTTCATTTGATCACTTGAATAAGTATAAAACCCTGAGACACCATATCATGGAATTGCTGTCATATCCATAACTTACCGTTTTATTTCTGACATGTTTCAGGTGCTCCATTAAAGGAGATCTATTTCTTAGCACTGATTGATGTATTAACACACTATGGTGTTAGAAAACAAGCTGCTAAAGCTGCCAAGACTGTCAAATATGGAGCTAATGTTGACGGTATCTCCACTTGTGATCCAGAACAGTATGGCAAGAGGTTCATTGAATTCATGAGCAAGGCTATAGAATGAACTGGTTATTACAGGGCTGTGACAACACATGCTGATCCTCTCACTTGTGACAAATTGAGATGAGGTTTGTAAGGCATTATATCCAGTTCTAATGCATCAAAAAAATTAATTGACAGATTCATTATGACAGGAACCGAAGTCAAGCTATAAACTCTTTTATTACATGGGGTGGCTTTATGGTTTAAACTTAAAATTATTTATTTCCAATTTAGTATGTTGTTATGTGGCCAGTGCCTTGAGTTTGGGTCTTACTGACCATCTTGGTTTTGGTCTGACAGGTAGAGAAGGCTGGAGAAATGAAGAATACATACTGTTCCTTTTTGTCATAGGGGTCATTGTCCAAAGACATAAAATATCACTTTTGTATTCTGAAATGCCAATGATGTAGTAGCAGTTTACAGACTTGGATTATTTACTATGCGTGTTTTGGTTTTGATGTAGAACTGAAGCTGTTTAATGAACACTTCCTTTATATGCATATTCCCTGCATGCTGCAGTCATCTGATAAAGATACTGACAATGAAATGCATGTCAGGCAGCAGTTGACAGTTGCAACAAGCATGACCATGCACGTGTCCTGTGACGTGACTGGGACTGAAACTGTCAGTTGACTGACATGCTTCAGATGCGGGGAATTCTGCTCTTTTGGGAGATACTGACTAACATGATTTGAAAGTTTGGTAATAGTTTACTTGTTGCATAAGTCTTGCAGTATGTCTATAATTTATGATAATTTTCAGAAGGTAATATAAATAGGTGAAGTTGTTTTGTCAGTATTTTGAAAAGGTAAAATCAAATAGGCCGGTCACGCTAGCCGAGCGGTGTAAGGCATGCACTGTCTTCGCTCGCTCGAAAGCCGGGATCGTGTGTTCGAATCCCACTCAGGGCATGGATGTTTGTGTGCGTTTTTCTGTGTTTGTCTACAGGTAGAGGCCTTGTGACGAGTTGATCACTCACCCAAGGAGTCCTACCGAATGTGTAAGATCTAGAAAAACCAAAGTGAACGGAGTTCATGGAGGTAGGCCTAGGCCCACTGGGGCTGTAGTGCCAAGGAAAAGAAAAAAAAAGTGTTTCAACAGGAGGAACAAGTTTGTGAGTTACAGTCCTGAATTGGAATGCACGGTATATGGCTTTTAAATTAATTTATAAATTTTTCTTACAGGTGACTGACATGTGTGACTATTGATTTCACCTGCTAATTCCAGTTTGGATGAAATGAGTCAAAAGTGCAAGATCTTCTGGCACTGAAGTCACTTTTACATAAATGTGAAGGAATATATAGTATGATGGATACTGATGCTCACTGGGTGCATGAATCTGTTGTTCTGTGTGAGATGTTATATCACTTGGTAATTATGCTTTATAATGCTGGCACAAATCTCACATATTCAACTGAGAACTAAGGGTGTGTGTTCGGTGTCACTTTCATTAAGTCTTTGACATGCTATCTGACCAGTTATTTCAAATGCCCCTTATTCACTACGTGTTCTTATGTTAAGCTTGACACAACATTTACATGCTACATTGGGGATATATAATAGGGTTGAAACAAAGATCCTTATGGTTCAGTATTTGACGCTATTCCGTGTACTACAGATTTCTGTCATAGTGAATATATTTTTGTGACTCCCTGAAGAAAGTAATAGGCAGGGCATTTCTATTGCTGTGAACAGAATGTTGCTAAAGCATATTGTATTTATTTGTATAATCCAGTGCTTCCCAAACAGCAGCATCAGGGATGCTACAGACAGTGAACATAAAAAAAGTAAATTTATTTTTAAATTATTAATGCCAAGGTTGAATAGAATCCAAAGAAGGATCTTTTTATCTTGAGAGAAATTTGAGCTCTTTTGAATAATTGATTTTGTATCAAATTTAAATTTCTTTTTTTTATATATATGTCACAATATATATATATATATTTAACACAACATGTCACAATATATATATATATTTGTTGAATCAGGATACCTCAGTTGTGTAGGCCGATGACTGTGGACTGGATTACCCCATTATTTTTTGACATGGACAGGAATTTTTCTCAATGCCATCATACACAGGATGTCTTTGGGACCCACCCACCTTCCCTTCCAGTAGATGTGAGGAGTTCCTTGACTGTGGTTATCCTCCATTTAGTGCTGGAGTGTAGAATGTCTTCATTGTGGTGTGGTCCTTTGACACAGGACATATCTGAACTGTATAAAATTCCTGCTGCCTTTATGCCTTTCATATCTTTGGCTTGTAGCTTTCATTTGTTACAACAGTGGACATCAAGAGTTCCCAAGGACACTGTCTGTTAATCTGATTACACATCAAACTTTTGTGCAAGGGGCAGGTAAAAGTGGCTGGGTTATAAGGCTGACCACTCACTTTCATCTATTGGTGTTGTCTAGATTGCACAAAGTTTTACCTGCACACTTATCATATGCCTTCATGGCATGGGGCAAACTGAATGTACCTACTTGCACAGACATTTCTTGACTTGCTTAAGATCTCAGTTCTGTAAATTGTTATATGAGTCAAATTTTAAAAATTACCTCAAGTATGTGTGTTTGTCATATTGTGTACTTTACTTCATAATGGTAGCTTGTTAACAAAATTTATGCATAAAATAAATAAGGGAGAAATGGTGAATGACAGAACTGAAAATTATAAATAAATTTGTGGCAAGTTAATATTGTCACGTGTCTGACTAGACATGGGGTTTGCATTGGTAGTCACATTTGTCGAAGTCTTGAGGCTCATAACTACAAGTAACTATAACACTACCGCTAATTCTCACACTACGGGTCATTGCAGCACGCACTAAGTCTTCTCAGTCTGCTTTGTCTTCACTGGTTGTCACATGGTAATACTCCAAATGCCATAGATCCTTCAACATCTGTGTCCCACAGCTTCAGTCCTTGCTGGCTGTCACCTATCTTACAACAAGGCATTGCCTGGTTACAGTCTTCTAACAAGGGCTAACGGACCCAACTGAATAGGGTTTTCCTTCACCTGAGGACGGAAACAGATCCAGTTTCCGAAATGTCGTGTTTTTATTTGTTATCTTAAAAACCAGGACGATGGATAAAGTCCAAAAACCTAACATATCAAGGGCTGTTCCTCATGCCCTCATGGCTCATGAACTGCACTCCCAAACCACTGTCTCAAGACTTGACTCTTCATTGCTAGGCAATGGCTTAAAACAGTGGGCTTCTCTGCCTCTTCCAGGGGTGGCTGTCTCAGCTATGGGCTGTCTTGAACCGCCTGCCTCTGAACTCGAATTCTACTCAACCAACTACGCCATCTCAAGATTGGTTCATTTGTTCCATTGGTCCTCATGATATAGCCTTGGGATGGATGCAGCAGAGAACACCACTTCCACCAGTTCTTCTCTTGTTGCATGCCATCACTGCTGTTGTGGATATATGTTTATTGCACCATTGCCTAGCAACAGGTGACATATTTGGTGACATGACATGACATGTTTCATTGTTGCTTGTAAGTGTGACCTGGGTCACATGATGTCAACTGAGCCACTGCCTAGTAATAGATGTGTTTACAGAGCCGTTCCCAAGCAACGATCATCTCTGCTGGCTTCGCAATTCAGCTCTTGGCAGACACATGACACTATTATATAATTTGCTTCCTGCTCATGTTACTGTTGAGTGATTGCAATAAATCCATCTAAAATGATAACCAACGTAAATTTATTTCTAGATGTTTTTACCTGAAGACAGATTTGCACAGGTTGAGTCTCACATATTCCAGGGAGGATGTATAATGTGAACTGCAACTAGTGTATGTGTATCATGAAAAAAATAATTTCCAAACATAATGATCAAGTAATATTGATCACAAATGGTAACTATACTTGTAGATTACTTCAGGGCATACACTGCGGAAACAACTTTGTGGAATCCATGTCATTGTCAGTTTTACAAGTGTTACGGATTATGATGTAGGGTGTAGAACCCTATCAGTGCACTTAGCATTATTCCAGGCATTTCCCCCAATGATTATAACATTTATTAATTTGAAGGTAAAAATTTTTATATGTATGCATGTGTGATGTAAAAATGAGGCATTCAACATTCAGGCTGTGTAATTGCAGTGACAGTTATTTACAGAAGTGATTTTCAGGTTCACCTCTTAGTTATTTTTATGAATAATTCACAAAATTGGGAAATAAAATTCACTTACAAATATTATTAGCACCTTCTATGTTACAAACTAGGTACATCACCTTGAAACCAGTACTTCTTGTATTTACATAGGTTGTCCAGAAATTGAAGACCATTTGGTGATTAAAAAAAGTAAATGAATGAAATAAAAAAAAAAATATTTTACATCATTACTACAGACCTTAAATCATATTTCTCCATAATCCCCATGTAGACTCAGGCGCTTGTTGTANATGAAGTGTAGGATTTTGTACGTGGGGACGTCGAAGTAGTTACTTGCTTCCATAAAATATTGCCTTTTTCAACTTCTGTCTGGTGCATCCAGACAAGGCTTTTTTCACTAGACGGAGTCCACCTAATCCAGCGACTAGGTATCCCAATCCTTCTCCTACTGCAGGTATGCTAGAGGTACTAGCCCCCTGTATTGGTATGTCAGTACTACTGTCTCCCAGTAGAGTTTTTGGATTTACCTCAGGTAGGTTCTGAACTTCTGTTCGTCCCTGCCTTTGGCTGAAAATTCAACAGCAGGTTCGCTGGCTGTACCTGGGTCCCTCAGTGGTTCAGTGGATCCCGTTGGAAGGGGTCCCTCTTCAGTTTAAGGCCTTTATGACTGTTTTTTTTTTTTGGTTCCTTTCATTTTGGTCCCATGAGTTTTGGAGATTAAAAGGTCGCCACCCACAGTGCCCCATACAGGTGGAAGGCATAAATACAACGGGGTGCTGCTGAGTGCCCCGAGGGGATCATTCAAGACACTGGCTAATTACCATCCCAGTGCCATGCAGCCCCCAGCATGATGCCTCACACCTTGGTTTAGGTGGTCTGGTCCTGTTGTAAATGAAACCCTCACAAGCCTCCAGGACCCAGAGTATCTGTCTGGGGGGAGAGGGGTATCCCAGATGATTAATGGGAGTGCGACACCAGTTAGTCATGAGTTGCAACTTACATGAGAAAGTCGCCCCTGGGGGTAGCTTATGAGCTCCCCCATTCCCACCCCTCCACATGGGTTGGTCAAATTATTTTAGAGTTGACCCTTAAGGCTTGTGGCACCTTATCGGTACTCTAGGGAGACAACTCAAATAGCTGAAGCTACCCCCATAGGCGTGCTCTCCCTCATTCGTCCTGGGTACACTGTAGTGAAACCGAAGAGTCATTATGCCGCTGCACGGTAGGCTGTGGTCATAAAGCCATCGCACTTTATGGGAACTTAGCCGCCAGCCCCAGAAGGGGGCTTTCGTTGCCCAGCGGGACCACGAGGAGGTGTCCCAAAGCTGTGTCCTAACGCATCTCTGGTCCATGATGCGCCCCCATCAAAGACACAGCTGTGATTCGGCCAACCTCACCGAGGATGGCGTCATTACCACCTGTAACATGTGACATAAAAACGTCACAGTTACTCCGGGATCAAACCCAGGCCGCCTTTTAATCATTAGTGTCAAACACTAAATGGACGGTCAGTCTCCTCTGAAATGGATAGGACGAGTTCATGTAATATTCATGACTTGTTAGGAGAAGTACATTTTTAAGCACTCCTGTGAAAGTAACAGTGAAGGATGTGCTTGGGACTATTCCGAAGATGTTTGTCATGTAGTGATAACCATCATGACCTTCATGTGGTGTGTAGTGGTGCATCCATCTGGAAATTCTTCCTTCTGGCCATTCTTCAGCTGAAACTTTTGATCTTATATAGTACGCAGACACCTTGTGTGTTGGTCGATATCAGAACAAAATTTTATGTACTTTATGTACTTTCTTCTTGTTCTACTCAGCATACCATCAAAAATGGCTGAGCAAACAAAATTCTCGTCCTGATTCTTTAATTTTACGCCTGCACCCTCAAGTGTTGACCGTTGTTCAGTGGTCAGCACTGCAGCTCTTCCCCAACCAGATAAGTTCTTGGTCAGCAAACCACAATGCTCTTCTTCACGTTGCAGCTCTAGTGGCAAGTTCCAATTTGGATTGACTTGTGGATGTATTGTATATACTAGGTCTTGTCTAATTCTTTCTGCACATACTACAGGTGCGGGGAGTGATTCATAATGCGTATGTGAGACTTCATCTACTCTTCCAAAGTCTCCTTCATTATTTGGCCATATTGGAAAAGCCAATTTATAATCTACCCCTGTCTGATCTTTTACATTTCCAATACATCGCAGAAATTCCTCAATTGGGGCTGGTACCGGGTAGTTGTCGCTTCTTATATAATCTAAAAATCTCATTTCCGGATAAGAATTTAAATCCTGATGAGTTCTAACTGTGATAGATCTTCCATATAAATGTTGGACGCAGTACAAAACAAACATTGANGGCGATACGTTCCTCCGAAACGTCGGTTAACACCACATATACACGGTGCCAAATCCCAGAAGACTGCTTTCTTCAAACATTGATATAGATATACATTTTTGAAAATTCTGATCAGCAGAAATCATCAAATCATACAGCCTTTCGGAAGCTGCGACAAAACCTTCAGCCATAATGGCGAACTCATTTCTTGCAAAATAAGGTGACAACCCATTAAAGCCATCATCATCAAAATCCTGCCACATTGGGTCAGTGGTGGATAAGGCTTTTGGTTTTAGATCAATACTCATGTTGACCTCTGGCTTTGGTGATATGGGGGGAGGGTTGTAATCAGCTTTCTGAGGTTTTCTTTGAGTCACTGGTTGTTGTTGACTCTGACCTCTACCGTGACTGGCCCCACACCATTGCATGCCTCCTCTTTGC